GAGGGCTGCCTGGGACTCCGAGTAGACTCCTTGGCCAAGAGGACTGTCCATCCTCAAATGTGTGCCAGCCTTTTTCAGCCCTTAGGGCAGGGGTGGACCAGGAACAGCTGAGGGACAGTGTCCATAGGGTCTTGGTGAGTGGCCTAGGGGTATTACTGACCACCTTCCATATGCGGATTTCGGGGAACCCAGGGATCTCCTCCGGCAGAGGCTCCTCACCTGCGGGACCTGTCCGCACATGACCTCACCAAGGCACACCTCTCTGTGAAATGGGTACTGCCTCTTACGCGCACTCACCTTTGGGAATCTGGAGAGGCAAGGTCTCCTGCTTCCATGTATGCCTGACTTTTTGTCCTTGCTCAGTGTACACACGGATACACACACACCAACAGGCACACATACTTACATACACATGCACATGCAGGACCATATCTACATGTTCACTATGCGAATAAACATAGAGTCTACGTGCAGTTTAAACAGGGTCATGCTACGGACATGGGCTGGGCCCTGGGGACAAGACTTCTGGGGTTCTCTGCTCCATCATCGTTCCAGGGCTAATGTGGGTCAAATCATGCCCACCAAGATAGGTTTAAGTTCTTACTTTGGTGTCTATGAATATGGTTTATTTGGGGATGGGGTGTTTGCATATATAACCAAGATAAGATGAAGTCTTTGAAGTAGATTGGCGCCTGTCTGGCAAGTGCAGGGTCCTAAATTCAATCCCTGGTGCTCCCCCAAAATGAAGTACATTGGGCCTCATCCATAGCCTGGCATCCTGTAGGAGGCTTGGACTGGGGCACAGGGAGAAGCCATGTGACAATGGAGGCAGAGACGGGAGGGATGGGACCACAGGATGCAGTACCTGGGGCCACCAGTAGTAAGCAGCCTCCCTATACGTGGGGAGGGAGTGGTCTTGTGGACCTTGGCTGCGGGTATCTGTCCATCAGAGCGCTGAGCGAACGGATGTGTGATGCTCCCAGCCTGGGTCTGTGGTCCTTTGTTTGGCTGGGTTGTTTAGACAGGATCCCATCATGTACAGGCTGGTCTTGAACTCTGTAGTCCAGGCCAGCCTCAAATTCCTGGCAGTCTTCCTGCTTCGGACTCCTGAGTGCTGAGACTGCAGGCCTGTGCCACCACGCTCAGCTGCCTTTGTTGTGGTCCCCTGAGAGTGCTGCATGAGCCAGTCCCGTGCTTGTACCCTGCCCCCTAGATTAGCCACTGAGTGATGCAGGATAGGTCTGCAGATCTCTGGACTTCGGCCTTTATTGGTGACTGAGGAGGAGAGGACATAGCTGCCTGAATCTGAGCACAAACCCCATCTGTGCTGAGCTGAGCTGGCTGACTGCAAGCAGCAGCGTGAGGACCAAGGCCAAGGCTGTGGTTTACATCAGATGTCCTCCAAAAGCCTAATACATGGACGATGATTAGCTCACGGGGGTACCGTATCTATCAGTTGATGGGTTCAGCAGTTCGGTAGCTAAGTGGCTCTTGGGACATGAGCCCTGCCTGGAGGTGGTCACTGGGGGTGCTTCATAGCTGCAGTAGGAGGGGCACCTCTTCCTCCCCGTGCCCCTCTGCCATCTCGTTTCTGCCTTAGACCATGAACTGAAACTGTGGGCCAGAGCCAACCTCCCCTGCTTTAAGTGTAGGAATTGGGTATTTTGTTCTGGTGTTGAGAAAGTGAAAGGGAGGCCCCGCTGGCGGCTTCTCTGCCCAAGAGCCCCGTGAGCACCACAGAGCATGAGAGCGCGGAGCAGGGCACTGCTGCTCCGCAGTGCCCTTGGGGCTGGGCCGTGCTAGTCTTGGCATGGGTTGAAATTTAATCTCGATTGTGTTAGTCTGACTGTAAGAAAGCGGCAGATCCTGTTTGCAAAAGTGCCAAGACCCCTGAAAACCCACAGTGCAGACACTGGCCTGGGTTCTGCTACAGGGACATTGTCAGAGGCTCTGAGCTGGGCTTCAGCTGGTGAAGGAGGGTCAGCTTTGGGGCGTGGGGGGCAGAGTGTACTCACCCTTTGTCCCTTCCTGGCCAGGATCTGCAGCACTGTTCAGACAAAGCTTTTCCCCAGACATATGAGCTTAGGGGTGACCATGTGTCTGCCCCCCAGCAGTAGAGGACTGTACATGTCTGGGGACCTCTCATTAAGGACCCGTCTGCTGTCCAGGTAGCCAGTGAGCGTGGAGCCCCCAACCAGCTAGGCCTTGGGCTCACGGAGTCCCTTCTCAGCTATAGGCCATACTCCAGAGAGGGTTTCCAGTGGCACAGTGCCTAATTCTTTCTACAGATGTGCAGGTCCACCAGCTATCCCCGAGGGGAGCCCCCCCCCCCGCAGGCTTCCTGCTGCCTCTTTTCTGCCCTTGTGCCATCTCTGCTGTCTCCCAGCAGTGGAGGACTATGCATGGGGGTGGGGGGGGACTGCATGCCCCCTCCTCCACTTACCAGGTGCATACCGGGCAAACTCCTTTCATTTTCCACAATAAGATCTCCATGTAGGGCCAGGGAGATAGCTCAGTTGAATAAGCACTTGCCTGGCAAGTGCGAAGGCCTGAGTTCAATCCCTGGTTACACACACACACACACACACACACACACACACACACACACAAATCTCCATGTTACCTCTTGCTTGTCCTCAGGATGGAGGGATGTGGCTGGGTCTTAGCAGCTGCCACAGGTGGCCTAGGGGCCACGTGTCCGTCCTGTTCTGAGAGCACCTGCAGAAAGAGCACATCCCAGGGTTTCTAGAATGGCCTGCTCCTGGGGTTGGGGTTGCAGGTTGGTCGAGTCGATCACTTAGGGCAGCACTGGATGGGATATTGAGACATAGTCCAGGGTTTTTATGGTTTGGGTTTTTTTCCCTTCACAAACAGCAAAGGGTGTCCTGGGAAGCTGGCTGGTACTGGCCCAGCCTCTCCTGTAAGAGCACATGGTGAGCACAGGCTGCCCTTCTATGTACCTATGTGTGGCTTGCTGTTTTCTGGAGGTTGCTAGTGGGTGGTTCTGACCGTATCTTATGCCTGGGAGCTGGGCCTGGGAGGGTAGACAGCCTGTGACTGAGTAGCGAGCTCTCGACTTGGTGGGGGTCTCCTTGGGGCCTTAGCAAGGTCTTTCCTGTGTTGTTTGGCAAAAGTCTGGCCCTTCAACCTGGCCCTTCAACTGACCATGTCTGATGCGTGGGTCCTTCTAGAGAAGAGCGTGGCACCTGTGCTGCTCCCATGAGTACCCACCCTGATTCAGAGAGGCTGCACGGGTACTCCTTGGGTAGGGCCTGAGGGCCAGGCAGCTCTGAGGACGGGTGGTTGTAAATGAACTCCCACGCAGCAGCAGGCGCAGGGGCCAGGAAGTGAGACCCATTCTACAGGCTGCTGTGTGTGGCTGAGTCATCTACCCCAGGACACCTGAGTGGTCACCACGCAGCATCTAGTGCCCATTTTGCCATCCATTTTGCTTCAGTCCTGCGTGGTGGACCTCTTCTTAATTGAAGTCCTAACTTGCGCCGACCAGGTAGGCCCAGGGCCTCCTCGAGTCCTACTTCCTGGTGATCTCAGATGTGAATACTGCTGTGATGGCTTTGAAATGTCCCCAAGGTTGTCTTCCCTGTCTGCCTGGACTTGTTGCAGGCCCCCAGGAGCCCCACAGCTACGGTCCACCCCTGCCTGGCTGTCTGGTGGGCCACTGATGCTCAAGTTGGAAGGTCTGAGGCCAAGTATTCAGGCTTCAACAGAAGTGTCCTTTGGGATGACCTCCCCCCCGCTTCCCTGTAGAGAGGCCATAGTGGGGTGGGTGGGCATGGAGGCGGGGTCCTGCGCATCTGACCAGATCCCCTTCAGCAGCTATGCATGGAAAGTGCTGCTGGGGTAGAGGCGGGGGTCAGGGGAGAAGTGGCCCTGAGGATATATGTCACCTCCCTGCCTTGATTCTTACTTCACATTACAGAAAGATGTCCCCGAGCACCCTCTCTCTTCAGGGTTATATGTAATCCTGTTTTTAAAGCCCACCAGTAATTGCAGTATACTGTGTAAAAGCTGCCTTCATATTCCTAAAGGAGGTTTTCAGAGTCTTGATTTGCAGTTTAGACATCACTGATAAGTGTTTCCTGTGGAAGGCGAAGTTTCTGGATAGTTAAAAAGCCATCACTGGCCACACTTGTGAACTTCATGTTGAGCTGAATCAGGATTCATTGTTTATCTGAATAATTGTAGTCCGTCCCTGCAGGTAACAATGACTGCTTTCCTTCTGTTCATTCCTGGTTCTTTGCAGTTGATCTTTACCTCCCTTTTTTATCTGATGGATGGTGCAGTCTTGTCACTTGTTCATCTCCAGCTCTCACAGAGAAAAATGCTTGGTGTCTCTGGACGTGCTAGGTATTTGTTTCAGTTTAATGTCTTGATACGTTGACAAACTTCTACAGAATGTAGAGGCTTGACGCAGTGCTGGTTTGCTCTTTCTGGGGATTTTTGTCTGCTCTTTGGGTAAGAGCATGGGTGGGGCTTGGAGTGTCTAAAGTGATTCTGCTCACATGACGGTACAACTAGGGCTGCCCCCACGTGTCAAGTACACATGTGTGCTCTCTTATCCTGGGTGGAGGATGGGTCCTGATGGATATGAGGCGTAGGACCCTGAGGAGCCGGCTGGGGCATTGCAGGAGGCATCAGTGCACCAAAGGGCCCTCAGAAAGCCACACCTTGGAGTCCCCTGCATGGAGAGTCAACAACTAGAAGGACCCTGGCCCTAGTGCCACATTGGGCCTGACCCTCTGATCTGGTCCCTCCAACCTGAGGTCCTGCATGTTCCCTGAGTGTGGCCAGCCATAGGTGCCAGCAGTAGGCATCAAGTGCAGTGGGGCTCAGGGACGCAGTGAGGGCCTGCGGGAGCTGGGGATCTTTGGGGGTCTCTGGAGAGGCTAGCAGATCTTGGCCCTGGTGCTAGGACCCAAGCAGGTGTTCCCCCCACACTTGGCTCTACCGTAAGATTCTGCCTTTCTGCTCTTTCCAAGGTCACCGACGGTGAGGATGCAGCTGTTGTCCCGGAGCTTCTGATTCCATCCAAGTGACCCTACATGCCTCCTGGCCAGCTTTGTGCAGACACACGCTGGGTACAGTGGGCAGCCTGGCCCTGAGGAGCAGGTGTGTCCAGGAGGAGACGAGACCGGTGCACAGTGGCGCCTCTTGGCTGAATGTATTTATTCCCGTGACTCAGGCTACAGTGCTCCTCGCTTGGAAGGAGCCAGGAACTCAGTGATGCGCTTGCAGCTTCACACGCTGGCGTGGGCGACCTCCGGGCTCAGAATTCCCTTGCAAGAGCAGGGCCTTCTGCCTCGGCCTGCCTGGTTGCCAGTGTGGGTGGCTCTGCCCAGCCACGGATCTTCCCTCTGGGCATGGCCGTCTCAGCTGCTCAGCTCCAGCTGTTTGCAGGCTTGACGAAAACCAAATTGCACGTGTGGGGTTCTCCTTCCCAAGCCCTTGGGCACGGGGTCTCTGAACACTTGAGAGCTGGGGACCTATCTGCATCTCACCCCATTCCTCCCAGAGCATGGGTCCCCCTGGGTGGCCAGCCCCGGCCTGCAAGGCCACCTTGTCCAAGAGATGCTGCTATGAATTGCCAGTACTGTGAGGAGGAGGTGGAGGGTAGACCTTGAAAACAGCACAATGTTAAGAGGAGAAACTGGCTCTGCTGTTTGTAAGAGTGCATTCCTTCCCCTTTCTGTCACTTTATAGACCAAAAAGAAAAAGGAACAAAAAGAAAAAAAAAAAAAAAAAACTTAAGTCTTCTGCTCTTTCTTTGTTTAAATGTAAGAAAGAAAAATCTAGGTTGTTGATGTTAGTTGAGCAGCCTTGAGGCTGAAGCTGTGTTGGGGCTGTCTTGTGCAGGGACCCCGGAGGCCTCTGGCAGTGTGAGGAAGGGGCCACGGCCACATGTATCAGGGTGGCACCATGCCAGGTGGATGGGCTCTCCCTGCCTGGGCTTTCCTCCTGTTTCCTGGTTGATGCTTGAATTTCCTAGACAGAGAGCCCCCTGCAAGTGGGGCTAGTTTTGCTCTTTGTTCCTACTGGCAGAACTTCTTTAATCATATTTTTTTTAGCTTTCTCATTCAGAGCCAAGGGACATCTCAGCAATGGTCGTGGCAACTTTGCTTGTCCCTGGTTTTACAGGAGTGTTTTGCATTCATAGGGTTCTGCTGTCCTCGTGAAGGACCCTGGGAATGCAAGTGAACAGTGGCAGTAGACACCACCAGGGTCTTCTCCAGGCGTTGTCAAGGGGATTTGACTCAGAACTGTCACCACCAGGCCAGATGACTGTCTTCTCTGGGGACATGGGTCTGGGCTTGCTCTTGGGAGTCACACAGGGTGTGGCTTTCAGATTTGTTTGTAGCAGTAGAGGCTTTTTCTCCAACAAAATTTCAGTGAAATAAAGGCTACCCAGGAAGTGCTGTCCCTGGCTACTCTACTCAGAGACACCTCTACCCCCAAGACCCAAGGGGGCCTTGTATGAGAGATGGAACTTTGAAGGAATAAGAGCTGCTAGCCTCTGGGGCCATCTCAGGAGGAGTAGGGGCCCCAGAGACTAGGCCCCACCACTGTCACACAGTGGTCACACTGAATCAGATTCTGAATCACATCCACCCAGGGGATCCCTAAGAAGAATTCCTGTTCCTGTTAGGTTGGGTCAAAAGAGCCTGATCTTGCTTGGAAGCAAGCACAACCCCGCAGTCTACACACTTATTTGTGCAATGAATTATGCATTTTCCAGAACATCAGGCCAGAGCAGGCTACTGGCACCTGTCCCAGACCCTGGGGTGGGGGTGAGGGAGGTCTTCCTTCTGCTGGGGATACAAGGACTGGGTGTGGCTCTGTGAGCATCCCACCCTGGGGGCAACAGCCGAGGAAGGGCTGGCCCTGCCCTCTGCCCATGGTCAGCAGCACCCACATTCCTTAACCACAGGCCCTGGCTGTGGGACAGAGCAGGAAGGAGCCAGCTTCCCTCAGCAGAATGAAGAGTTCCTTGTGAGCCACTGGCTCCAGGCGTCTGCCTTTAAACTAACCTGCCAGGAGAGCAGTGCTCTGCACACCCTGGGTCTGGCCCTTCTGCTGGACGGCGCCTGGCCATGCTTGGCCTTCACTGGACCAAAAATTCTAGGGTCCCTAGACCAGTGGCAGTGCTGTTGCCACTGCTCTCTGTGGAAGTGTGAGTCCTCATGTCAAATCAGTCTACTTGCTGAGTCTGGATCTCAGCTTCATCTGGGCCTTGAAGGATGGAAGGATGCAATCTCTCCAAATTGCAGGCTGGGTCTGTGAGCCGGAGGCTGCCATGGACATTGTCCTGTGAGCCCAAGATCTGTGAGAGGTCACTGTTCGGAAGTGCACAGGTACCTTAGTTCACCACAGTTCGGGACAACTTACCTGGTGCTTCACTTACCAAGCGAGTCCATGAGAACCCCCACAAATACCTTCTGGGGTCATCCTGACCCTCCAAGTGTGTGGTCCCTCACAACCCCAACACCAGCAGTTTCTGTGAGAAGATACTCTTCCACTGGAGTTTAGAGGCCTCTTGGTTCCCAGCGTGGTGAGCAGGGTGTCTCAGGCCTGTCCTCTGCTGAAGTCTGTAGGAGGAGCCAGATGCAGGCACTCGGAGCCCTGGACTGGCCTGAGCTCTGTGGCCACCCTGGGAAGGCACTGTCCCACAGCATGGAGAGGTGGATAACATTTCAGCAGATCTAATTTAAAGTGAAGGCAGCTTTTTGTTTTGTTTTTAGTCTTTACTGTTTAAGCAGAAGATTAACCACACTTGCTTGTCTGTTCGCTTTCATGGTTGGTCATACCACGGGCAGCAATGGGAGGCACTGGTCTCTCAGTGATGCCGAGAATGGGGACCAAAGCTGCGGGCCAGTCCCTGGTGATTCCAGCACACTGCTCAGCACTTCTGGGTGGGGTAAGCAGCTCCACTCCCTCTCCAGAGGCCCTGACAAGATGGCTACAAAAAGTGGGTGAGCTCAGGCCTGGTGTGCATGCCTGGAGGACCCAGAGCCCAGCCAGCCCGCGTCTTGTCTGGTAGCGAGGCCACTGTCTTTGCGGCCCTCGCTGCCTGGCTGCCCTGTGTTCTGTGCCCTGACCTCACGTGGGTCTCTGCAGCAGGCCCTACTGGCCCCACTCCTGTTGGAGTGGTACATGCAGACAGAAAGGCCGAGGTGGCTTCCATGGCTCCTGCTCTTCTCCGTACTCATAATCCAGGGAAGGGAGGGGAAGGGGGAGGGAACCCCTGGTAGGAAATACATGAGGGAGCCAGGCCTAGGGCCTCAGTGAGGCAGCGAAATGCACAGTAGGCAGCGAAATACATGAGTAGAGGAAGCCAGCTTAGAACCCTTTCTGCTTTGTCCTTGCCTCCGAGGGATACCATCCAGCCAGAGCTTATCCACCCAGCACAGAGCCTTCCTAGGCCCCCATCAGCCACCCAACCCAGAGTCCCTTCAGGCTGGGTGTGAGGAGGGCCCCATGGCCAGCCAGGTGGGAGCCCCAGGTAGCACTTTTCCAGAGCACACTCGAGTAGAATCCTTCACGTGAGTGACTGACCTAACTGCTCACTAACCAGCGCTTGCCCACCAGGCTGTCTAGCAGCCATGTGCTTGAGGCCAGCTGTCATTGCTGTGACGTGGAGCAGGCTGGGGAGGGGAGGGTGTGGGGAGGAGACGGCCCAAGTGTATGCAGGGACTCCGTGTGTGTGTGCTCCCGCCCCCTGCACTGCAGCCTGATCTCCCTTCCCTTCCCCTGGAGGACCCTGTCTCCCCACTACCGGGCTGCGGCTGAGGTGATCTCCATGGGCTCTGGGTCTGTGGCTTGGCAATATAGGGCATAGTGAGGTCTGATGGGGACCTGCGTTCCAGAGCCTCCGGCCCGAGGACTGCACTTGCCTGTTCTTGCCATGGCCTTGGGTCCTCCTGGCCTCCCCAGTCCTGACCATGTGCACACACCTTAGCTTTCTGAGTCTCTGCTTCCTCATCAGGCGCCTGGGCACAAGAGTGGGGGAGGGATGGCTCAGTGGGGGCAGGGGTGGAGACCTCGCTGTGGGCCGGCTCCTGGCCACACAATGGATCTGCGTGGTAAGGTGCCGGGCCAGAGTACCTGTGTCTTCCAGCTGAAGAGACTGAAGCCTGGGGCACTCTGGCTAGTTCCTGGACTTCAGGGCACCAAAACCTTGGACACTTACAGACACTGCTGGGCAGCACAGCCGGCCTGTGTGGCAGTCCCACAGGTCCCCCCTTTTTGCCGTCTTTTTCTGTCATTATAAAGTGCAACCCAGGAGTGATAGGAGATGAGCCTCCTGTAGTCTTCCCCAAATCTGGGCCTTTTACGTACTTCTTCCCCCCAGTGAGTTTCGCACACGCTAACATGTGCTCCACAGACCTGGCCTTGTGCCAGCCAGGAAGCTCTGTGTCCAACTCACCCTTTTGTGACTTCCTGTGTCCTGGGGGCTGTCCTACCACCCTTCTTCCCTGGCTCAGGGATGCTGGCACTGAGGGCATTTCAGCCCTCTGAATACCAGGAAGGAGCCCCCAACTCGCTGGAGTTGGGAGTAGCCTGTGTGGGAGTGGCTCCATTCCTCCATGGTAAGGAATGAACAGGGAAGAGCCCAGACACAGATGGCCAGGTTGGGGCCCTGTCCCCACTCAGCAGGGTTAAGCTGCTTTGTACCCCAGAAGCCTTGAGGAAGCTTTGGGAGCTGACCAACGCTCAGCTGGTAGGAGGGGCTTGGGGCAGGCAGCTCCCACCACTCTCATCTCAGACCAACTTCCTTTCCTCTTTGTTCAGCTCTCTGGGTTGGAGGTATGGTCATCTCAGCCTGTGGGTACATGGCTGGCTTCTGTCCCACAGCCTGTCCCCTCCTCCCCGGCCTTTCCCTCACAGAGACACCACTGCCAACGAGCCTCTGCCCAAGCTGATTTATTTTTAGCTCCTGCCTGCCTGACACCACGGGGTTTTCACTAGGATCCACAGACAGGCGAGTGAGTCTCTCTAGCTCCTTCCAGGCCAGCCAGTCCCTGACCACTTTAGGAGGCAGAGAGGGCGCCCCCTG